ATATATATATATAGACTTCTCATATCCGATGTTTACTAATAGAAGAAATGTTTTGTTTTTATTTTAATTTTTAGTATTTTTCGTAATAAAATATAATACAATGTCTGACCGTAGAAGTGGAGTGTGAATTCTACTAATTATTTTATGAAGGAAGAGTCGTGTAGTGGAATCTTGTTAAATATCTTCAATAATTAAATAATTAAACGCCCTTTTCCATAAAGATATTGGTTGAATGGCTCTAATGGTTTGATTAATCAATATTTTTTTTCCCTTAATCATAATTATTGGTTCATTTAGTCAGGTCATATTACATGACATTATTCCTACTTTATTGAATTACTAACCAACAAAATTAGGCATCAAATCACCAATCAATGGGCTTTGTTTGCTGAGTTTTAGAAAGATTAAATCAAGGGTTCACCTACACTAATTGACAACCACCAATTTTAGATAACATACCAAACCTTCTTTTTTTCTTGTATTGTAAATAATTTTGAACTAAAATAATTCCTAGTTTTGAAATATGCGAAAACAAATTTGAAACTAGAACAAGCATACATGTACAAGGGGGTGACGGAGAAAATCGTCTCTCTAACTATGGTCTACTTGATAATTCAAGAAAATGGGTATGTGAGGGAAAGTACAATCACGAAAAATGGGGTAATTGAATTTTAATCGAGACAGAAATTGAGTACAATATAATTACTAAAACAATTACACTAGAATTTTATGACCTTCACGGTATGATCATCCATCGTCAAGAGTTACAATTTTTAGCTTGACATCGTGTGAAATATCTAAATTAAACGATCTGACATAACAGCTCAAAACTTGGTGCATGCGTGCGAGTATGAGATAAAAGACTCCACACAATAACAGTCCTCCAATAACCATTTGTGAAAGAAACTTAAACTCCAGTGACCGTTTGTGAAAGCGCTTGAAATTTCAGTGACCGTTTCTGCAAGTTTTGAACTTCAGCGACCGTTTTGTTATTTTTGTGTAAGTTCAGTGATTGTGTGTGAAATTAACCCAAAAATAATACTTAGACAAGAGAAAAATGAAAATTTTGATAATCATGTAAATGTTAGAAATTTAGTTCTATTTTATGACGCACAAAGTATACTCTTGTGCGTCATGCATGTATCAATAAAAGTGTTAAACTTTTCAATTATGTTCTATCATTAATCAAAAGACGGTGAAACAAAAAATTTAACGGTGAAAAAAACTAACCTGCTTATAAGTCAAATAATCGCTTTTGATAGTATGGATATATTAAGATACTCAAAATACCTAAAAGGATTGGACTTTTGAATGTTTATGGAATAAAGAAATAGCCTGAGATTATTGACCTAGTTCAATTGGGACCATTTACATGTGACATAAATTATGGTATTTTGGCATTGTTATAGGAAGTCTTTATCAATCAGGCAGGTTATCGGTTAGGTAGGAATGTTAAGTGAGACGAATTGTTTAAGTGGAGCAAGTCGTTTACCGGTTTGGTTAAACCCAGAAATGAGCAGAGTAGCAAAAAATTTGTGCTAGCTAAGTGGAGCGAGTCGTTTACTGGTTTGGCTAAACCCAAAAATGAGCAGAGCTGGCTCGATTTGAAGGGCTGAATTGAGACTTTTTGAAAAATGAGTCAGCTCGACTCGAATTGTCCCATATGCAACCAGGAGCTGGTTTGTGTGGTGGGCCAAGCCAAGCTCAATAGTGGGTAAGTAGCTCGGTTGGGATAGACCCTTTTGACATCTCTACTATTAGGTGTGTATGCTGAAAAAATTAAAGATTCTTGAGATGTTGACATTTTTTCAAAATTACAAGAAAATTCTTAATAAAATACAGTCTAAATTATATAAAAGGCTCCTTTCCATATTTATTATATCATATGATGCAAATTAGACGTTTGCTAAAAGGCACGTACATTAAGTCAAAGGAAGACTGGTTCAAAGGTTTCAATTTCGCAATTTGCTAGTTGCCTTCGGTATATTTACAATTATTTTTATGGAGATTGGACTGAAGAAAGAATGTCACTTGATTATTATCAAATTGACTATAACTTTTTTTCTATTCATGAAGATTTTATCAGTGTCAATTCAAAGCAACTGGATCATAAGCGATCGCAACATGAACCCCTCTTGCCAATTACACTAACTAGTTAAGCAATTCATGTTAGGTTTTTTTTTTTTTTTTAAAATCCAAATTAGGTTGGATTTTTGAAAAAATAATTTTTTTCCTTTTTTCAACGTGTTTTTATTGAGAAAATGTTATTTCTTTTATTCCACGTGATTTTTTACCACATGAATCTTGTCCATCTGTGTTATCTCGATCCGTTTTATTTTTCAATTATTCACACTTGAGACAAATTGAAAATAGAGAAAATTTTGAATTACTTGCTTTGTTTCTTTTCGCTCTAGGGTTCATTGAATTTGCTCTAGCGGGTATTTTCTTGTGATCTAGCTCGATGACAATCATATACGCAACCAAAACAAAAGTTAACTTAAAATCGACTTAAAATTACCAGCAACTAAATTGAATTAAGCGATACATACGAACGAAACTTACACTTACGAATAACATTATAAAAAACATGGAAAAAGTCACACATTCAGGCCCAAAAACATGAAACAAGGAGACGGGGTGATTCGTAGGGAAATGATTGGGAATTGTGTTTTTTTTTTTTTAACTGTCCAATCCAACGCCTACACGTGACCTCCCTGGATTTGAGCCTGTTCCTGTAGCATTTTTCAAAAAAACATAGACCGAGTTGATCCAAACCAGGAACATAATCTATTGAATTCTTAAATTTCTAATGTATAATATTTAAATCTGAGTTGTTTATGTTAGTGATCTATTAAAACTTAAATAAACTGAGATACCATTCAAGAAAGGTTTTCATCTCTTTATCTGTCCTATCTGCTCCACTTGGAATGTTTTGAGTTTGTCAACTTTTTCAGTTTTAAAACACCATTATTTTATAATTCATTCCACAAACTTATAGTAAAAAAACAAAGCAATATATTCTTCATATAGTCTCTCTATTGGCTTAGTTTGAAACTGAATTAATCTTCTAATGTGAAAAGCACTTGTGTGAGATTCTGTCATTAGTCAGAAATTATTGACCTCCATTGTTAAAACTTATTGAAGCATTCTTTGTGCAAGATGTTTTAATAAACCCTTGCCACCATTTGTGATGTGGTGCAAATCGGTTGGGCACTAAAAGATTATCTGTAGAGGGAGCAAGTTGTGTCGACTAATATTGTCTGTTGTCGAACTTGTCAACGTCGAGTCACACCTTATCCAACACGTGTAAAATTATCTAGACCTCACAGGGTTGATGGCCCAATGGCCATATAGCTTAGCACAGCCCTGATTGTAGAGGGACTCCCATGGACCTGACCCGACATATTTTATATCTCTACTCACGAGTCAGTTCAGCCATGATTGAAATGGTTGCTTTAGTAAAGAAAAAATGAATACCTTTCGTCACCTGATTATTATTTTATTCTGTTCATGGATCATGATTTAGCACAAACTCAAGAAAAGTAATAGGTAATCATTCATTGAAGAATCTATAAAATAGGAGGGGTTGACGGGGTCATATAGCAATGTTTTCAGTAATTGTGTTAGTTCATCGGTCAAGGTCATTGAAAGACTCCTCCCCTAATCTAATACAGAGAGAGAGAGAGAGAGAGAGAGAGAGAGAGAGATTGTGGTGGGTGGGTTCAGTTGAGCAAGGTGAGACATATAAAGATAACAACCTGAAAAGAAAGGTGTGAGACCAGAGCATATAAAGAGAGAGTCATTTGAAGTATACGCAATAGTGTCAAAATGAGCTGGTCCCATGCCCAGAGCGGCTCGGCTTTATAAAAAGCTTGGCACCAGACCGGCTGAAGCCCGTTTGAACCACAAATTTATCATGACAATTTGGAAAACTTGTTTCTCCTTTAGAAGAATTCTAAATTCAATCTTAATCTTAGATAAGGTGCCAATGAAACAATTAAGACGTGCAAGTCATCTTCTTTCTCGTTCATCATGTCATCAACAAAGCAAATCACACACCGTATCCTTCTAAAAAAAAATTAGTGCAGGTTCATAACATGCCATGTACTAATCTTTTCCACTACCAAGTAGAGTAAAAATGCGAAAAAACTGAAGAGAAAAAGGTTGTGCACACCAGAAACCTGTTTAATTTATGAAAGAAGTGCATCATGAAGCTTTCATCATGTACAGAAAGTTTCCGGTACTGTGTCACCGTCTAATAATATAAATGAACTCTGAGTATGTCGTATGAATACCTTCTTGAAGCTCCGTTTCATTCATGTGGCATGTAACAAAGGCAAGATATCATATCTTTTGCAATCAAATCTGGTAGATGCCACCAAATATTGACCTTTTTGGCAAATCCACCCAAATTTACTAGTTCGTATTTTACATGGAAAATAGTACTTATACCAACATTTACAACTACCCTATTTAACGAAGCAACCATGCTATAATAATTTCAATCCTTTATGGATTTTCAGAAATAGTCTACCACAATCAATGTGACAAAGAACTCTAGCATGAAATTCTGGACCTCGACTAGACAATACAATGAACAAAATTTTATCTTGTTTTTCATCTTGTACTATCCAATCCTCCCTAGTAAACATAAGACAGGTTCCTAACCAATCTAGCCATTTCACAGATGTTACACCAGAAGTTTTAGTAGATAAATGTCTACGCCGGTTTAAAACCTGGACTGACCCTCTATCATAAAGAAATTGATTAAACCTTTAAGATGCAAAGATTGCCAAGCTTCTCTATCAGTTTCTGGACGGACCTGAGTCAAAGAGATTGTTTCTTTCCTACAAATTCCCATGACTGGAGCTTCTAACTGCTTGTCGTCATTGTTGAATGAGACAAAATAGTTTGCGAATACCATGAATATGTCATTGTTTGCTTAAATTTGAAGACCCCCGTCGAAAATCAGTGATGACTTTCCATGAGATCAGCAAGTGTAATCTTTCCACAGTTGCCACAATCCAACCGATCAAACTGTTTACAGATCTGTAAGATGTCTTTCTCCGAAACCATACCCATCTCCTTGAGCTTGTAAATAACGTACTCTGACTTACTGCCATATACCCAGCGGAAGGAAAACCAAATCAAAAAAGAAAAAAGCAAAACTTAATGCAATTCTTTTGAAGAAATTTACAATATATTCAGCATCTCAACAAATTTATAACACATTTGACAGTGAACCATTTGAAAGTAGAAGGAAATTTAATGTGATCTAAACACCATAAAGTAATTCAATTTTGTAATACCTAAACTTAATTAACATAATCCAAGAGTATAAAATGAACCTGAACTTGAGGCTCATTTAATGATTCTTTTATGAATGCGAAGGACTCGGACCTAATGAAAAACGAACAAGAACAGAACATCGCAAATCCCAAGTGACTGACTTGATCTAACTCTTCATTTACCAGAACTTGAGAAGTTCCCCTGGAGTACCATATTTCATCCAAACTCTACTGTATGTTTGTCTCTAACTCCATTAAATAGTCTTACTTGTCACCTTTGGAATATACCCTATTTTGTTTGACATAACTTTTGTATTGTAATGTCTTTAACCAGTAACTAGAAAATCTTAGATTGCCTTTTTGAACCAAATTAGTATACTTCATTGTGCTTGCTTCAATTATTTATGTTCTGATATTTCAAATGGAAAAGGAGATCATAAACTCCCAAACTGTTACCAACACAAGATTCAATGTCCTGTACCAAGCCTACTTAATGATAATCATATTGTGTCAATCCTTTCCATTTTCATATTGATCAAGTATAAGTGATCTACCAAGTCTAAATGTCTTATTTATAGTTCGTATCACCCCTCAAAGTGATATAAAATATTAGGTGTTACATTTATTACTTATATGGCATGAACTGAGTTGATTCTAACAAAACTTCAGAAATTATTGCATGCTCAATATCCATTATTAGATTGTATCTAAGAACTTGTCAGAAAAGCATATTTAAAAATTTTGGAGGTCGAGTACAAATATATCGCCTTGAAATTCATTTCACATCGGCTATGTCAAACAAAACTCGGAAAATGAATGCATACATAGTACAATTTGAAGTTTCATGATCCTTTAGAGCTTAAATGACTCAAATGAAGTAAATAGAATAAACATACTCTTTGAAAGTTAATTAGATTGAACAAAGTTATTTACCTTACAAAACCATTATTATCAATGTCTGCAGCAAGAAACTGCGCAACCGTCATATCCTGACCGAGCACCCACTTGGTCATTCTCCTATGTCGTTTGTCAACCCTTGCTTCAGCCAAATAAAGAAATGCCCGAGCTACAGCAAGTGTCGATAGAAGCAACCAAACGGATGCGAAAATTCGACCAGGCAAAGAAGTAAATGCCCTGTCTCCATATCCAACAGTAGTAACCGACATGACTGACATGTAGAATGAATCAACTAGATTTAACCTCTCGACAAAATGCAAAACAGCAACTCCAATTCCAATACAAAGAACCACAACTCCCAATGCCAATGCCACTTTCATCCGAATCCTCATTCTTCCCTTCTTCACGTCAATTATATAAGACCTAGGGTCGTGTGATCCCCTACCCTTAATGGTCCTCAAAAGATAATTTTCTTGCAAATCAAGCACATAACTAACCATTCCAGACAGCAAAATATCAATAAAACCAAATCCCACAAGCACAAACATGACGGAAAACAACTTGGTTGCAGAACTATCAGGAGTTATATCACCATATCCAATTGTACACATGGTGACAATGCAAAAATACAAACCGTCAACCACAGTGTGAGTCCCAGTGCCCTTAAAATCATCCCTATTAAAAGAATATATAAACACACCAAGACTCAAGTATATGATCAAGAGCGCAACAGCTTGTCTTACAATTTGTGTTTTGCCAAACTGGGGTGGCTTCGACACTGGCAAATGATGGAATTCATTGATGAAAGCCATGGCCGGTGCAGTCTTACACCTGTGGAGATTACTCTTGGGCACTGAGTAGTTAGGATCAAACAACCAAGAATGCCGGTTTCCCACGTCGAGATTGGATATTTGCGGATCAAGATTAAATCTTTCATCATCAAGATTGGACTTTGTAGGCTTAGGAGAGGACACACTTAATGCATCAAGAAGGTTTGAAGAGGAAGAGTCTTTCAAGGGGGAAGATGACAATAAAGGGGATCCAAAAATGAATCTATCTTTCAGTTCTTTTGATGGGGTGAGGGGTAAAGGCGGGATGGTGATTTCATTGTTTTCAGGTAAAGGGGCAAGGGAGAACGGCGGTGGTGGTGAAGGTTGAGACCTTCTGGGATTTATATAAGGGAGGAGTGGCTCTTTTTCCATCTGGGTTTGACGGGAAATCAATTTTGGCTTGGCCGGAATATCGGGAAACCGGGTGAGAACGGTGGTGGTGCAAGGCAGTTTCTGATACAAAGAGACGTGCTCTGTTCGATGGAATTGAGGAAGCATGCAATGCATTAAAGAAAGAGATATAAGGGGACGTTTGGCGGTGTAGGAAAGAGGGAATAGATAAAAAGTTTGGGAAACAAAATGAGGAATTTTGGAAAAGAATATGTTATTTGTATATAATGAAATTATATAATGGTTTGCTGTCAAAATTGTCTAATTATTTAATAAAACCAAAATTTATTTTAAAATTGAATCTCACCATTCAATCCAACTTTTTAGTCCAATTTCAAAATTATCCCTTCTCTTAGAAAATAAAATAAATATATAAATCCCACTTTAAACGGGGATCTCGTCCCGCCCACTGCCATCCTTGTAAAATGGGAGGGGACGTTGGGCCAGTTTTAAGAGAGGGATTGGACTTGGAGGCAAAGAAGCTTGGGAATTCGAGCTTAATACCCATTGATAGATGTCAAGGTGCATAGGGATTGGATGCAGAGTGAAAAAAGGGGTTTGATTTGAAAGGAATAGAGAGCAAGAAAAAATAATTAGTAGAGAAAAGGATTTTACGATTTTTATAACCTCTGAAAGGATGAGAAACCCTTTCATAACGTACTTGTGCTTTAGGCCTCTTTAAATGAAGTCATCAAGTTGTTGCATTTTATTTCTTGTTAGTGAAGTTAAAAGCTAGGTTATTTTATTTTGAAGTTGAAGGTGCAATCCAAACTATATCACCTCAAGTTCACTCTTTTTAACCTCACTTCGAAACATCACCATTACTTTGAAAGAAATTATCCAGATGTTATTGAGTCATTTTCAAATGACGATAATAGGTCCATCCATTTCAAACTTGCTCATTAATTTGGACTTTTGTTCGGTTCCTCTCCCCTGTTTCTCTTTCCAATTTCACCTGCGGTATGATGATTTTTGTTTTTTGGAAAATGCATCTTGCACATAATTATTTACATAATATTTTAAATAACAATGTGGAGTCAAAATGTAAGTGAAAAAGTTATTTGATAGATAAGATTTGATCCCATTAAATCTCGTCACATCATCTGTTGATAAACCATTATATAAATTGTTATATACACGTAGTCATAACGTTTTTGTTAAACAGTGATGCCAAAAAAAAAATGTCAGCGAACACAATATACCATAAAATGCCAAAAAAATAACGTTTTCCATTACACAACTATATATGAACTTGTTAGTCTTTTGCATAACCCAGAAACTCATAAAAAGGACTTAACCAACGAACACAATATACCAAAGACGGATCCCATTCAGATTGTCAGCCTACATATATTGTACGAATGGCTGCCGCGTCGTTTAGTTTGAGTACTCGCATATATACCAATATTAACATTTTCTCAGCTATTCATTTAGCAGTTTTTTTGCTTAGAACATGGTGGAGATCAAGCCCATTGATCTTGGCAGCAAGTATGAAATCATTCTCTGTGAGTCCACCTGCACAAGTGAAATTTGCATCAATCCCCCGAGAACAAACTGCATTTCATGAATATATTTCAAGCAGCCACTTTGTATGTACAACCACAACATTCGTCAGTCAGCACTCAGTTGAACTAAACAACAGCGTCAGGCGATGAACTTTTAGGGTTTCGGCTAAAGCATAAGAAATATACTGCATTTCTCAGTTAATCTTCAGCAACATATGTCAAGAATGTGACAACAAAGAGATGTTAACATGGATGAACTTACCCACTGCATGAGTCCATATATCAATTTTTACATTGTTCCACCCAACAAGATGAAGGTCCGGATGATGACCTGCGACAAGAAATAACTATTCAGGCAGCAAACTTTGAAGTAGCATAAGGTGTCCACACTGTATGATTATTCAGAACTTATTATTTGCTAGTTGATCGTAGCATGACCATCGAGGTGAAGTCGGACTTAAAAAGATCGAGTGGAACAATACATAGACAAGTAAATCCCTTATGGGTGGATTTTAAAGATGGTTTATGATTTATTATGAACATATTTTTCTCATTCTACTGAATTATTTTATTGGTTTGTCTAGTCTTACACCTCGACTCATAGAGCTAAAATATTGTGGTAACCGACTGAGCCCTTTTAACATTTTTGCACAAGAAGTTGATGAGATACCTTCCCCCTCAGCAACATTAGCTACAAGCTGAAAAAACTCCAATCCTTTTGTGAAACTCTTGACTTTCCATGATCGATGCAACTTCCATTTGCCACCTTCATTCACCAAATCCCACCCAGGAACCTGAATGGAAAAATACCAATCAAGAACTAGAACATACAAAAGTTTTTTTTTTTTCAAAAAAAAAAAAGGTGTATGCCTGTCGAATTAATTGATGGGCTGCATCCTCAGTCATAGGCCTCAGATCCTTTGAGCTGCATGGAACACACTTCTTCATAGACAAGTCTGACACAGATTAAACAATTATCAACATTAGCAATTAACCAATTATTGATTTGCAAACCCAGAGGCCAGATCAGTGGGGAAAAAAAAAATCTCCAATTGGTTGAATCACTAGCATACACACCCAAATGCATTTTCAGAGACCTGCATGTAATCAGAGGATCCAAAACAACTGAACATCAGGGAATTTAACATTCTGGTGGTCACCGTCAGAAAAATTTGTCAGGAAGAAAGCCATTTTGCTGTGTCTAAAGTCAGTATGTCATCATCCTTGTATTGTTAAAATTTTACACAATCAAAAAAGTAGTTCTCTTGCATCTCAATAGGCCACCAAAAACTATTGAGTCAGGGATCTAAACGCACCTTGGGCAGTACAAAAAGATTTAATCCCATTACAAGAGTTTTTATTTGACCACAGTCCTTTGTGGCCCTGAAGTATACCAGCTATGAGACTACTTGAGCTGTATGTGAAAACAAAATATTTCAGACGATAAATTCACAATACAAAATATGTATATAAACTTGATAAGACGCCAAGTAATGCCAACGGGGAAGTTTCCTAAACGTGTTTTGCTGAATATTAGTATAGAGATGATATAGAGCATTTTGGGTTTGCTGATTGTTAAAAAAAAAAATTCAGTAATAAGCAAAGATAAACATGTTTATAATGAAGCACAGAATTGCTACCCTTCAAAGACACTAAAAAGCACATTATAAGCTCAGCCAGACATGCTCACTGTCGAGTTTCAGATATTAATAAGTATCATATGCAATTTTCATGATTTAGCTTCTCATAGGACTATATAAAAGGCATCATTACACTATGAAAATTATAACAGCATGCATATTTGAAAAACAAAAAAATCACTAAAAGGTAGGGATATGGAGATGATGCGTAGGGTGCAAAGTGAACTAAAAAAAAAATAGTGACAACTTCCAGGTTAATGTTCTCCACAAATATTACCAAAATTTTCAGAAAAATTACACTCAAGCAGCCAAGGATGTACTCTTATTGCGCAGGGTACAAGTCCAGAAAATTTACTTGTTTACCCTCTTTCTTCCAGTATATTATAGAAGAAGAAGAAGAAGAAAAATCCCAATTATGGGGAAAAAGCTTGATACGGTTAAATTCAATGATACAAATCCTAGAAAAGTACATAGTATCAAGATTCAAGAAGAAAAAGAAAGATCCTAATTCAAAAACTTATTTTTTATAAACATAAACTCAAAAAGACATTGAAGAAATGAAATACACAGATCAAATGGGCACTATGAAATAATATTTTATTTCATCTTAATAATAACTTTTGAAACTATAGAATCAGGGCAATTTAAAGAGGATTACCGTCCATGGCCACCGTAAACCTTATGCGACAGTGAAAACGATCGAACCTAAACACAACCAAACCAAACCAAACATAATCATATATAATTCGATTATACACGCATATAAGAAATTTCGTATGACGCAATTGCACGTACACGGGCGTTGTGGGTGTGGAATTTTGAGACGGAGTAGAGACGAGCTCGAAGAGTCCGAATCATCGACTAGGGTCTGGCAAGCGGGTTCCGAATTTCTTTCACCAGCTATTAAAGTTGCAATTTATGAATTCAAATCGTGTTTCATTCATGCCCACGGTTGCCGCTCTCGGCTCTTCCAAAAAAGTGTGGGCAGTACGCTTTTTCCATGGGCTAACAATCGTGTTTCTATCACTGATGTAGGAGTAATAGTCTGAATTGGCACCAATAACACTAAGCCATGTTTGGCGTAGATTAATATCAATAGATTTTGATAAATGTACGACTGAAAAGTTATAATTTCCATAAAATGTGTAATTTAAATTAATGGTTGACTTTAACATAAATTTTAATATGTCACTAATTAATAACTTTTAATTAATTTTATACTTTTCTTCTAATCAATCAAAGCTTAAATAAAGAGTCGTTTCGCACCAAAAATGGTTGACCGACACTTACAATGGGAGGGCCCCACTTTTTTCTTTTGGAATTTTACTCACGTGCCCGCCTTATGTGAGGGTGGTCAAATTCACCGTCATCCATTTTCGGTACAAATAGAAAAGCCCTTAAAAAAAAGGCATTTCCATTCAACCAGAACCATGTAAAATTTTCTACTTGTTTATTTTTATTTTTTTAACATTTCCAGTCATAAAAACAAGATATAACACCCGATTAAAACTAAGTTTTTAGCAAATTTTGTTAAAATTTGATGAAATGTGCATTTAAAAAGTTGTGAACCCTATAAAACGTGTTGTTAAAATTAATTTGACTTTTAACTTAGGTTTTAATCAATATTCCCAACTGTAGCAAACAGGGCATAAAATACAGAGGAAGAATAAACGCGGGGGATATATTCACTTCAGCTCGTAGGCAAAAAGCAGGCGATTTTAAGCAAACAGTGGTAGAAGCAAGAAATGACGAAATCCAGTCTGGACTAACATCAAATTAGCACGCACGATCCTACGTTACATTAACTGTTAATAAATACATTATAAAGTACATCAGCCACTCAAATCCACTTTGAACATTCATAAAAATAAAATTATCCAACGTTGTGTATGGCATGAAAAGGCCACTTTCACACTCATTCCAAGACCCTGGAAAACCGAGATGTGGTAAGATTAGTAGTTTTGCCATAACTGTTGGGACTGCTTTGGTTGTCCTTGAGAGCCCTCAAGCGAACCATCTCTTGGATTTGGTTGCTGATGATCCTGAGAGATTCCTGTCTGAGAATGGTAGAAATTTGGGTAACCAAGAGTTCCATAACTTTGTGATGGGTGCTGACCTTGCCTAAATCCACCAGATTGCTGATTTTGCCCCTGATAATTGTAATACGTGCTGGCTGGGACGGCTGATACTGTTCTGGAATTAGGCCCGTGAAGCCACATAGGCGAGTTCTCGTTCTAAGAGAATGGACAAGAAAAAATATGCATAAATGAAGGAGAAATGAAAGAAACAATTACAAAATAACTTCAGGGTCAGATGAAGAATACAATATGTGAAATCAAAGTTTTATGGCAGCACAACTTAATTACAAGGTTAACAATGTCTAATAAATAATTCTAGTAGAAATTTAGTGAGAACATGGTTTATTTTGTTATCTAACAAATAATTCTTTTAGAGTAGCATGAATGAGAAACTAATTTCTCATTGGAGAAGAGAAGGAATACAACAGAATGTCAAAAGCATGCGAAGAATCATATTTAGCACCACGGAATAGAAAAAATACCTGCTGAAGAGAGATCAAATGACTACTGTCCTTGTACTGAGAACTCAAAACATCATCATAGCTCAAGTTCGTTCCAGAAGGGGCAGCAGGAGGATTCATAAGGAAGTTCCCAGGAATCGTTGTTGTACTTCCAAAGCCACCATATCCAGGAGCAACAGCAGCAGACTGAGGCAAACTACTGACAGAAACACTGTTTTTATACTGAGGAAGTACTGCTGCCAAAGATTGATGGTACGTATTGTTGCCAGCAAATTGTTGTTGGAAAGCAGAAGGCATGTATGTATAACTCTGAGGCAAGAAAGGATAACCAATCATGTTGGCAAATGGTCCTAATGGGAGAGAAGGCTGAGAATATGGATGTACAGGAAGGTGTTGAGGCAGAGGAGGTCCTGTGGCAACACTGGTTCCAGAGAGGGATTGTGGTGTAGGCTGTGTTGATGGAAAACTAGAAGTCTTCAAAGCCTGCAGGGTAATAACTTGATTAGTTCGGGTCTGAGATTAGGTTGTGCATTAATACATAATCTCTAGCCTTTTACTTCTGTATCATAATGGCACAGTCGTCAGGCATACCAACACATTCTCCTATTAGTTTCCCACTCCAACCCCACCAAAATAAAATAAAATTCTACACTTACCTTTTCTATCCCCCAAAAGTGGGGAGAGGTGGGGCACGTTACTACTAAGTTCTGAAAACTACTTTTAAAAATATAGATGATGGAAATCCTATTATTTCCGACGTTCAGATTATTATATGATTATTTCCGATGTTCAGATTCTAATTTTGGGAAATGTTAATAGGGATTATTTACAAGATTTCCTAAGATTTTATTGTGTTTATTTACTAGATTCTTAGGTTTAGAATTTGATCAGATGTTTCCTGCTTAGAATATGTTTTTTGAAACCTTATATAAAGGGGGGGCATACGTATTGTAATACATACACTTCAATAATGAAATATAATGACACTTTCTCCCCCAATTTCTCTCTATTTTCTCCCTCTTCTTTTCTCTCTCTCATCTCTCTTCCTCGTTCTATCTCAATCTCATTCTTGTTCAATTGTGTTCTACGTCAATAAATTTTTCCATCTCAAATTCACGAAAAAATAAATGGTTTCAGTATCAAACTAATACAGATTCGAATTGACTCATTGAAGATGCGGAATGTTCGTGCTAGATAAGTGATAAATAAAAAATAATGTTGTTTCCATCATCTTAGTACAAATGGTTTACCTCTGGCATGGAAATTGCTGAACCACCGATGGAGGACGCAGAATTGCCAAATTTCGTAGGTAATGATTGAGTCACAGGGAATGGCGAGTATTGAAGATCAGACTCTCTACCAGCATGAACATTTGCAGCCAACAAAGTGCTTGGTAATGAATTTGTATGTGACTGCTGTTCAAAAACATCAGGAACTCAGAAATCAACATTGATTTCATCTCTTTTCTTGATCAACAATAAAAATAACAAAGAGAAAAAGAAGAAAAGGACCAGATCAACCAAACTGCAAAACATGGAGATATCAAAAATAAAAAGATATAGTAATAAAAAACGAAAAATACAAAGAGAACTGGGACAGAAGAGCAACACTCCCTGAAGGTGTTGCAGTCAGAGTTCACTAGAAACTACGGACAGGATTCACATACGAATATTATTATCTCAATGTCCTGATAAAACTATCCCTAACAATCCCCAATCTTGTCCCATCCTCTTAAGATAATAATCTCACAAGTTCTACATTTGCATGCCAAAAGGTGGCCCTTCCACCCTAAACATTAAGAATCGCAAGATCAATGCTAAGGACAACTACTGCCAATGGTAATACAGTAAGAATCCATCATTGTGCAGGCTAGCGGAAGAGCGGAAGAATCTGTCCAACCAATGTTTCCTTCCCCACAACACTAACAAAGAATAATAGTGGAATCTCTCCATTGTAGTAGATTAAAAACTACAATAGAGAGCAAGGTATAGGAGTAAGGTTGGATAAATATATAAGCCTAAACCATAAACTAATGACAGTTGGATACGGCAGTGGTCTCATAAATCCAATTTCAAAGGTGAGCCAGAGGATGGGTGTGGAGAATGAATCCAAAAAGGAGAGGGGGAAAAGCATGTGAAAAATAGTACAGGCGTAGTCCCTCTTCAATATTGAATAAAATCTTGACTTCAACAAACAAATACATCAACTTTCATGCCACTTCTCTGCCCATTTCAATTTTGCATATATATATTCAAACATCTGGCAGCATCAATATTTTCTCCTTTGTATATATCAACGATACAACAGTTTAGTGATTTTCAAATCCAAAAACCTGTCGCATATAGCATGTTTTGCTGTGCTTCTTTCAAGTGGCTTCTTCTACAAAAGTAGCCAAAATGTGGCTTATTCTGGGAATATAAAGGCCATACTTCCAGAATAATCCACATTTTGGCTACTTTCGTAGGAGAAGCCATTAAAAGAAGCACGGACAAACATGCTAACAAAAATCCATTTTCTTCAGGAATATCACATAAATGTTTAGGCTGCTTGTTCCATGTGATTTCAACATACTATTCAGGTAGGATGACCTCAGATAATAAATCAATTAATCTCAAAACCTGCACAAAGGACTAAATGTCTATTTTTACCATAACATTCGAGAAGGGAGTCAGATTTTGCATCTGGGAGCTCGCTTGAGATTGAGCAAATGCAGCATTCAGCTGTTGGGCGTTATCAAATGCATAATCAGGGTTAGATGTGGGAAAAGCATATTGATTTCCACGGGCCATTTCAATGTTCACAGGCTTCAATTCTTCTGGTTGTGATGCATCATAACTCCCACTACTTGCACCAGGTCTGTGGAATAAATTACCATCAGGCATATTTTTAAGAGACTCGTCTCCAAAATACTCCGAATTTCTGCAACAAGAGCACATTCAGATAAGTTTATCAACTTCAAGGAAAAAGGAACACTACTTAATATTTAAAGGATTCCAAGAGAACTCTACCTATTGTCTGAATGATCAATAGATGAAACATCTGCATCTCTATGAACTTCTTCCAAGTTAGATTTAACAGGGGCGGATGCCAAAGGCCCGGAAGAAAAGACAGCACTCATTCCAGATCCAAAGCTACCAAAGCTCAAGTGCGAGCAGTCAGCAGTTTGAACTTGTAAATGATCTGGGATTACCACAGAAGGGCCATCACCATCAGCAGGCAGCCCCTGGTCATCCTGTTGCACACTTAGTTGTTGCAAGTTTGCAGTGACCGACGATACTGAAACGCCAACTTCTTCAACTGCAACATCATAATACCGCAA